AAAAGCAAGACCGATATTCATCACTCTGAAATCAGTGTGCCAGTCTGCTTCACCCAGCTTGAGAAACAAGATCCGAACTTTCGACAGTAATATCGAGTCAGTCAGTGATCTAATCTGGTTCCGAGATTTATCCCGTCATCAAGAAACCCTCCATCAACACCTTTCGCCATAGACACAAATGGACTAGCAGCAGGTAGCTCTGGCAGCGAACGAACCGAGATTATACTGACCAACAAATATGCGGCAGGAAATGAAGACGGAGTGACCACACACTAAGAAGACTAACGTTGGCATTATTATCATTTATTTTCAGCTTAAGTTGTTTTCCAATACTAGTGATTATTTGAACGAAAATGCTGGGTCTCTGATGACATGTTGACTCCTCCTCAGGAGATTTCGATGACTTTTAAGAAAAAATGGTGAATTTAGTTCTGTTGATGCTGACTAACACTGGAAACTGCCTTCTTTCGATGGAAGCAAAAATAAGGATGGGGACGTGGAATATTCGTACAATGTACGAAACTGGAAAGGCTGCTCAGGTAGCCACAGAAATGAGGAGATATAAAATAGAAGTGTTGGGAATCTGCGAGAGCAGATGGAACGGATGTGGAAGGTGCCAACTGTCAACTGGAGAGACAATAATCTATTCCAGTCTCCCAGAGGACGATCACGAACACACCGAGGGAGTAGCCATCATGATGTAACCAATAGCGGCTAAAGCTCTCATGCAGTGGGAACCAATCTCCCCTAGGATAATGAAAGCCAGGTTCAACTCAAAAGGAAAAAAGGTTACAATCATTCAATGATACGCGCCTACAAACGTGTCAGAACAAGAGAAGAAGGAGGATTTCTACAGTCAACTACGAACATTAATGGACAACGTCCCAAAGAGCGATATCAAAATCTTGATGGGTGATATGAATGCGAAACTGGGAGGAAACAATACAGGAAGAGAACTCACCATGGGTCGTGAGGCCCTCGGTGAAATGAACGAAAATGGTGAACTCTTCTAAAACGTCTGCGCCTTCAATGATTTCGTGATTGGTGGCAGTGTGTTCAAACACAGGGATATACACAAGGCAACATGGATTTCACCAGATGGACACACCAAAAACCAGATAGACTTCATTTCAATCTCAAGGAAGTGGAGACGGAGCCTACTGGATACAAGATCAAGGAGAGGAGCAGATGTGGGTTCAGACCACTATCTAGTAGAAGGGACATTCAAGGTGAAGCTAAAAGCCTCGAGGATACCTGGGAATAGGCCACAATATAAGTTCAACACGCAAAAGCTGAAGGACACAATCACACAGGACATTTTCACTGCAACTGTCAGAGCAAAGCAAGAAGCACTACCTGGCACCACCGAGGAATCATCCGTGGAAGACCATTGGAACTCTCTGAAGGTAATTTTCAACGAAACGTGTCCAACGGTTTTAGGAAGAAAGAAGAAACAAGACAAGGAATGGCTCTCAACGGACACTTGAAAGCTAGTAGAGGAGAGGAGAAAGGTGAAAGAGAAAATGATTCAATGCAAAGATGGACAAGAGAAGGAGACGCTGAGGTCAACTTACACAGCGCTGGACAAAGAAGTGAAGGAGAGTGCCAGGAAAGACAAAAGACAATTCTACGACAACCTGGCTACTGAAGCTGAGAAAGTAGCAGGCAAAAGGGACCTGAGGACACTATATCAGATAACCAAATTAAACAATGGGCGGAACACTTCAAAGGACTCTTGAATCGACCACCACCTACAACCCGTCCAGTAATACCAACAACAGCACGTACACAACTGCAAGTTGACACCAATCCTCCAACGAAAGCTGAAGTCTTGAATGCAATCAAGCTTCTGAAAGCTGGAAAAGCAGCTGGACCAGATGGAATACCCCCGGAAGCACTGAAAGCGGACCCAGAAACGACAGCAGATTTGCTGACTCCACTACTGCAAAAGGTCTGGAAGGAGGGAAAGGTGCCTACTGACTGGAGGAAAGGTTACCTCGTGAAACTACCAAAGAAGGGCGACCTGGGACTCTGCAAGAACTGGCGAGGAATCATGTTCCTGTCGACGCCAAGTAAAATCCTGAGTCGCATCATCCTGGAGAGAATAAAGGACGCACTGGATACAGAACTCCGACCAGAACAAGCTGGATTCAGTAAAGGCAAATCATGTTCTGACCAAATTGCAACTCTACGCATTATCATCGAACAAAGCATGGAATGGCAATCAAATCTCTACCTCAACTTCATAGACTTTGAGAAGGCCTTCGACAGCGTTGACCGCGAAGTAATTTGGAAACTACTCGAGTACTACGGCGAACCCCAAATATTCATCAACCTTATTCAACAGCTGTACGACAACAGCACATGTCAAGTGATCCACAACGGAAAACTCAGCGAAGCGTTTCGGGTAAACATAGGAGTCAAACGAGGGTGCTTATTTTCACCAATGATATTCCTAATTGTGGTGGACTGGATTATGCGTCGTCAGACAGTGGGAAACGAGAAGACAGGGATATCCTGGACCAACGTGAAGAAGCTAGAAGACCTGGATTCCGCGCATGGATGATTTATGTTTGATGTCACACAAAATCGAAGACTTACAAGCGAAAACCGACAAACTTGTCGAAGAGGCTTGCAGAAAAGACAGGACTCCAGGTGAACATAGACAAGACGGAGGTTATGAAAATAACCAACCAACAACAACAACAGCAACATACAGCGCCAATCACCATCAACGCGAGGGATTTGAAAGAGGTTACTTCTTTCACTTATCTAGGGAGCATTGTCTCAACCACAGGAGGAACGGACGAGGATGTCAAATCTAGAATCGGGAAGGCGAGGAACACATTCATCAACCTGAAACCAATCTGGAAAGATCCGTCACTCAGCCTACGTCAACAACAAAATTCGGATTTTCAATACAAACGTCAAGTCAGTCAGTTCTTCTATACGGATCAGAAACTTGGCAGCGGGTCACAAAGAATATTTCCAACAGCCTGTTGCCGACCTTTATCAACAACTGTCTTCGTTCTATACTCAAGATCAGATGGTCGGAAAGAATCACCAACAAGAAACTATGGCAATAAACAAATCAAGAACCAATCGCCCAACAAATATGCAGGAGAAAGTGGAGATGGATTGGACACTCACTGAGGAGGCTGTTGGGTGACATCGCGTGTCAGGTCAACGCTTGAGTGGAACCCGAAGGGGAAGCGGCGAGTGGTACGTCCAAGGGTGACATGGAGGAGATCGTGTGAGGAGGAGATGAAACAGTATGGATTAACATGGATGCAAGTGAAAAGAACAGCACAAGACAGAACCAAGTGGAGACGTGCAGTTGAAGCCCTATGTTCCACTAGGAACCCAAGGGAACAATAATATAATAATAACACTGGAAACCAGAATTCTCATTTCGTCCTATTTGGAATTCGTCACTGTGGTGTTCTCATTGGGAGTCAAACTCATCACCTGTTGTTTCAAACATCAAAGCAATGTTCACTTGGATGTTAGAGCCTAATATCATAGAGTCTTTGTTAGATCACAAACTGAAGTTGAGTCCAGCATATCCTTCTTGTAAGTTTCACATTTTTATGGCACTGTCTCTTTCCCTCTCCCTCCCTGACTACACTCACTTCTTGAAACCCGTCCATTATATGCACACAAAAACGTTACTGAATTACTTAACTTCATGTTATCTCATGTTCTGATGGATCACACATTCTACATGGATTTCGATGGCAAGAAAACTTCACTGGCTTTAATTCAATCTTTCACTAATGTCACACTGGACACTCCCATATAGTCCTGACTTGTCTTTATTGGCTAATGTGTGCTAAAATTGTTGCATTTATCATTGTGCATTTTGAAAACGAATTTACTGCACAACAGTCTTCCGCTCCTGTTATTCTTCCTCTGTAAATATCATCTCCACTTGTACTGTTATCTTTGTTTTCATCACCATTATCATACTGCGCCCTAATTTCACAATTAATTATCAAACCTAACATTGTGATGAGACAATAGTTGCTGTATCCCTCTACTCCTACAAACGTACACACTCACAATAATTGACTGACCAAGCTGTCATTGCTAGTCAGTATTACCTAGTATTGGTATGCCATCTCATGTTATCAATGGTGTGATCACCTAGGCTATTATCCACCAGTTCACTTACTTGATGAGGAGTTACCGAAAAGATGCGTTTGAATAAATTGTGTTTCCTAGTTCAAGTAATGCGAGCAGTTGAATTGATATCTCTTTGTTTGTGCGCTTTGTGTCTTGCCCTATCGCCCAACGTCCAACTTGATTTCGATTCTCACTCTCTGAGTTAAACTCACTATTCAGTTTCCAAACACACTTGATTGTTTGTCTGTCATAATTTCACTCTAGTCTTCATCCTCACCCTCTTCACCTCTCCATCAGAATATGTATCAATTCACTCTGTTCTTCGATCTTATAGTTAGTCTCCAGTCAGTCCTTATTTCCAAGCAGAATTTAAACTCAACCGCCTGCCCTTCTCTTATTGCGCTACAAACAGTTAGTCTCTCATCACTGGATAATTTGTCTAGCTGCATCGTTTTCCAAAATTATTTTGACTTTTCTTTCCATCGTTAACTTGACGTCGTGGTGAAAAGTGTGTTTAAACATTCCCTTACTTATAATTTGTTTAAGTCTAGTATTTTCACGGTTGAAGAGATTTCGTGAATTGAGACGAGCTCGGTCATCCTGCAAATATGTTCTCATATGACTGTTAACGTTTACACACACCACCATCATTGAACATTGTGGTAAGGAAGTCAAAATGAAGTCAAAATATTATTATCATTACTTTTATTATTATATTTAATATTATTCTTACATATTTCACAACTATTACTACTACCACTACTACTACGACTATCAAAAACTGTGAACAATTAAGTCGAATCATGTGAAAGAGAAAAGAAAAAGCATATTGTCTTCAAATGATTCTTGAAAACAGTTGAATAGATACGACCATCTCACACGAATGACACTTTTCGATTTCCTTTCAGTAGCATGTGTTCTCTCTTGAAAAACACATGCATGAAGGAGAAATGACGAATGAAGGAGTAATTACACATAAAATCAAGGACGATGCTAAAGCAAATATAAACGTTTCAGTGAGTGAATCAATCAGCGATTTCCAACATTTCCAGCTTCAAATGACTGAAATACTCAAATCGGTTGTGCTTTAGTCCATGCGCTGGATTATACAGTCGATTCATTCAAATGTCGTCTAGACGTGAATTAAGCGCCTCAGTTAAAACAATCATATCAATGAACTGTCAAAGAAGTCAATCAGAAAGTGGCCAAACCTTCCCATCTTATTATAGTACCGATAAATGAAATTTCAATCACACAATACTTAGTTATTCGTTTGAAGTGAACATCTCATCTACTTGTCTCCAAACACACACAGGAAATTAATGAATATGACATGAGATTTGCTGGTGAAGAATAAACTAAAAGTAGACTAATACTTGTCATAGGAAAGTGTGTGGATTGATTCTGGTACATAAACTCACTATCATGTTCTTCTTAACATTCTCGTAAATCGATTTGATTTCTACAATGAGAAGATGCAGTTTGTCATCAGAAAGGCTTACTTGATGTGTGAACATGAGTAGACGCATGTAAGGAAACAGATAAAATGTTGCAAACCTATCGTTTTCAATCATTAAATCAATTATCCGAGGTGTACACGAAACACCTAGATGTGAAGTGCTACCTCACCTCTGAGTAGACGTTGACGACATAATAGAATTTTGAAAGTTCCTTGCAAAATACTTCACTCTGTATATGGTTCAACTTACCAGCACGTGTCACAAAATTAATCTCACAATTGGACACCTTTGCTATCAAATGAATGAAATCATTTATTTCTGAAAAAGAGGGTAGAGTATAAACACACACACTTAAAGCATATCATGGATAGACATGATGATTTCTGGACAGTAGAGGACGAAGAAAAATTTTGCTTATTTGGAAGAAGGTGTCTATGTATAAATTGAATCCCTCGCATCAGATTCAATATTATATACGCATATGTATATGTAAATACATGTCACAGGATTTGCAGTAGGTGGACGACTTCTATCTACAGCTTACTTTGCTAGCTATTTATTGAAGATCAGTCAAATGGGTGGAGAGAATTAGCGACAAGAAACTCTGAGAACGAACCAACCAATAACCTACTGATCAACAAAATATGCCAAGTAAAATGTGGACAGATCAGACACACTCCTGAGTGACCATCAGTTGAAATCACGCTCAATGTGGGCCATAGCTCGAGTAGAACCTGAGTAAGAAACGAAGACGTGAGTGTGTGTCCGAATGTGAATACATTGTGGAGATTGTGCGACGGAGAAATTACAGGCTATGGGCAATCTTGAGGCCACTGACGAGAGCAGGAGTAAGTGAAGATATGGTGTTGAAGCTGTATGTCCGACGTGAGATCCAAATGGACGATAATATTTATCATGATAAAATCTTAGAAATTCAGTTGGTGGAAAATGCACTGGAAGGAGAATCATTAAAGTAATTGCGAGTAAGTAGACCTTCTCTTTGTAGAGAATAGCTTCATCACTCGCGTAAATTGTAGTATGAAAGTCACTGTCAACTATTATTCAGCGGAATAAATAGGAAACAACACCTGTCTGTGACATATGAAAGATAAAACTGATGAAATAATCTTCCAAAAAACAATGACATGTTTCGAATTACCTTTAGTGTGTTCAATCGACAGAAGACTATCACAAACTTTGAAATTCGGGAGTTGAGAAGTAACTATTCAAACAAAAGAGGATAGCATTGACAGCATGTCACCGGCTACAATAAACATACTGTCTTTTATTTTACTGATCACCAGTATTTAGTGATTTGACTTACGGCTTGGATTGACTGAAATTCATAAAAATCAACACATACAAAGATAATACTCGTTTGTGAGAACATCTGAGATAAGCATATGTGTGATTGTAGCGAATTCCGCCAACCTGTTTATAGACTGAAAGTGATTCTTGGGGAGTAGATAATGAGTGACATAAATCCTCGGAAAGACACCTGAGGTATGAAATCGTCACTAGGATTGGCTTTGAGTCGATGAACTGCACAACTTCTGATTGAGTGATGTGCATACTGTCGCTGAATAATTCCCAGTTGCTCTGAATTCACCTGTGAAAACTGTGACCGGCTCAGTACAAACTATACAAAATGACGTACTCATTCACAAAAGAATTGTAGTAAGTACCAACAGAGAGTCATCACTTGTTTTGTTCTTGACAATGTCATAAACTAACTGTCTGTCTTTCAGTCATACGCTCATGCTATCAACGATAACTGAGTTACCAGTTAAATATAGTGGATCAGAACACAAAGAAGTTTAACTCAGTCACACGAGTGAGAAGCCGCAAGCAGAAATGAAACCAACTTACTCAACCAATTATATTAATACTTACATTCAGAGTCATGGATTAGCGAACTCTTCCAAAGATCTTTATCCAAGGGTATGTCGATGAAACTCCCTGATTAAAATGCGAAAGGAAAAGAGAATATTTGTTAACCAGTAATTCGAGAATCACCTGTCAAAGAGATCGAATGAAGCAAATTCAGTGGATAATTTCAGGTTTCTTTTGCCATCTGGCGAATACTAGTGGTCCATAGTTAATTACATCAGCAAATAAATTAACTGCCTTTGCAAGTATAGATATTTAGTCAGAGATTCGATAAAGTGATCGATACAATCATACTCTATTACACTGGTTGTAGCCAAGTGACAGACATTGAAATATGGGATCAGCATCTTAAGCAGCTGAAAACAATCTGTCACTTTGATGCACATCCTTGGGGAGCAGTAGTGTGGCTCAACTGAATTTTTCTCACAAATCACCTTCGACAACTCACTGATTGAAGGGCAAAGCGAACAAGATCAAACAGAATCTACAACGAGTTACAAAAGCGTACTTACCATATGACTTGTGCACACTTATGATGGTATGTGAAATAGCTGACAAAACAAGTGAATACACGACAAATTAAAGACAGACAAGAATCAGGATGGTGAAAGGTGAAAAATTCCCAACCATGTGATGCAGTATTCAAAGAAATTGTTTAAATAACTGGACGTCAGCCCACATATATCTGTGTGATATTCAGAAGGGGTGTTAATTCAAAATCAACATTTAACGAAAGATTTCAATAGTCCAGTCTCTTTGTTTGTAGATTGTAAAATAAACAACAAACATTTCACATACTTTTGTAAATTACTGGCGTGTAGTAGTGTCCAGAAGTTTTGATCAGACAATTCACAACTAAAAGAACGATTAATTATCAATGTTGTTTTAATTTGTTGACTTACACTCAGCGATAGTTGTTTTCTTTTCTGTGGCCCGTTTTTCCAATTTGACTGGAATCGGAAATATATAAACAGTCTGGTGACTCATGCAATATGTATCATGATTGCAAGACACTGTTGTTAATATTGCTCACTTCTCAACTATTGACATGAAAGCTGATGAATAAACAAACGACTGTACGGAATCATCCATTTCACTGTCTCTACTGATCCCTGGATATTGGAGTTCACACACACATTTGAACAGCATTCCACTGTTATTTATTCCATGCTCATGTACAAAATATTGAGCAATACTCAGAGAATAATAACAATGCAAACCACACATTCACCTCGAAACATCATCTGGTGAAGAAACCTGTTCCACTCTGTGATATGTCCAACAATCGGATAAGTTTGAGGTGATTACTACATCTACTACTACTACTACTACTACCATGACATAGTGTGATCTTCACACGCGTACTATTTAGTTGAAGCAACACTGACACAACAAATTCAGAGACAACATACAAAATGCAATATGGTAAGTATAAGCAGGATTGTAAACGCACCTAGAAGTGTTATGAGTGAATTTTGATCATTCTCCACCAATTTTTCGTAATATGTAGTGTTTGCTGTGAAATAAAAATGGCAATTGTTTCTCAAATCACTTGATAATGACTACAGGAATGATCTTCAATGTAAAATCTAGAGATCAGTCATACTGAATTAGTCTGCATTCACAAAGTGCTCCGGTGTTACATGCTACCTGCATATGCTTCACCAACCACCTCAAACACAGACAATTGCGAATTCGGAGAGAATATGATCAACCATTCCACAAATGAAAATTCAATTTGATTCAATCAACATAAACTTGATTACTTCATCAAATGTTAAGCAAATTTATGGAATTTAAGAATGTGTTGAAAAAAATTTGCTTACACTCATAAAAGTCGATGATATGCTGTAAAATTGCTATCTCTTTGGTGAGACGATCCGCATCTTCAAAATAACAAAATCTAGAGTCAATTCAGTGAATTAAGCATGATTGATTGCTAAAGATATTTCGGCTTGAAGAATAAATGACAAAGAGAACATGTTGGCTAGCATATTTCCTATTTTATATTACTGAATAATACTGGTCGATATGATCAATGAATGGCGTATTGAAGCCAATTTCCAAGAATAGATTACCGAACGATTCAGCTTGTAATATCCTTTCACTAATCTCACAAGAAGTAATTTTTGATGCATCCGAGAAATTAAGGTCTCAAGCTCCATTTGGATAGAAACTGACAAGCTTCGCACGATTACCACCTAGACAGTGTGAATACTCTGTCCGATGTCGAAATTTAATGAGAATTCGGCTTCTCACTCTTAGGAAATTTGAAATGATAAAGTCGATTTCCACATATCTACAGTTTTCAGCTTCTCCACGTGCGATGACCTTGTCTTGTTGGATTAGATGTAGTTGATTCAAGTAATGAACTTCTTTGCAGAATCAACATAATATTTCACCACCAGACTATTTATTCTATGGTAGCATAAAACTAGCGGACAACCTATGAGTTGTAGAGAGAAATATCCGAAGGTTCCTGATGTGACTGGATATTCGACAAGAAACGTCATATTTTGGAATAATTTACAAGTTGAAAACAGTTGAATTACAACACAATAAGGAATACGTGAATACCCCAATTATTCTTCAATGTAATGCACTTACCATATTTCCTACTAACTGGAACATCTTCAAATGAATGAAAAACAAATAGTACTTAAATAATATAATCAATAGTTGACAAAAAGCATTCGCACAAGTCAACCGATCGAAAATGAGGCAGTTTCATACATCTTTCATTTCTTAGAGAAACCACTTGAATGCATCTGAAAGCTCCACAGTGTAGAATTCTCGAATAATCATTCCATGTTGTGAATGAATATTCGCCAAGCAACTTTACATTTCGAAAGAATTGACAAGTGGGAAACAATTGGAATAAAATACAATGAGGAAAAAAACCGTGAATATTCCAATTACTCTTCAATGTAAATGTACTCACTATAAACTGGTCCCAAATACTCTTCAACCGGTACCAGTCCGAAATCTTCAGATATAAAAAGAAAATATGGCAAGAATTTAATAATAGAATGACGAATTAAGATTATTTAAAACAACTTATCAATCGATCAAAAATGAGGCAGATTCATTCATCCAACATTTCATAGAGAAACCACCTGAATGCTTATCTTATGCAAAGAATCTACATTGTTCACGTGTAACACACTGATTCGAATCAAGATGAGTTTGTCGTCATGGAACTGAAATCCTCAATGAACAAAATTTGTGCAACAGGAATGTATGAGATGTATGCGAATTCGTGTAATTGGTATGTGTTAGAAAAATGACAAGATTGGATTGTCATGTCAGACCAGGAGTTCATCAGATAGTGATATTCATATCGACTTCTGATAGATCTGATAGAATGGAGTGATCCATATCTCCACACGAATCACTGATTATCATGTACTACATAAGCAGTTGTCAATCACAATTCAGAAGTGAATTCTATTCAATTACAGTGGAGTTGAAATAAACACGGAAAATGCAGACAGGGAAATACGAGGAGGTTTACCTGTCGACATAAGATATTGAAAGAGTTACTAAAACTTCCGTTTCCTGATGTCCACGTAATCATGGCGTGATTATCATTTCTATAAATAATTTGAACTCTATCACAGAACGTAAACAATTTTCTCCAAATAAAGCATAATTAATCAGAGAGAAAAGGTAAACTATGTGTCTCATTATACGGTAACAATAACAGCAGGTTATGTGAAGGAGACAGTTTTCACTTAGAATAACAGACTACTTGTAGGCTGACGAAATAAGTAGCACTTCCGTGAGAAGTGTGGTGAGTTGGTTGTAAATACGAAGATAGTATGCAATAGATGAAGACGATGAGTGATCAAAATAGGAGGATTCAGTGTGAGGAGTGACGGTTGACCAGTTAGTTGAAAGCCGTTCAACAGGTTTGTTGACTGGCTAGTTAAGATAGAGTGTGTGCTTTCAATTAGGAGAAAGGAAGACTGTAGTTAGTAGTTCATCATTGAATAATCAATAACTGAGAGAAATAATATCACTAACAATGAAGTGCAACAGCTTGTCAGTGTCAGGTTGCAAGACAGATGAGGAGACAGAGGATCGAGGTGCTTGAAACACGAGAGAGCAGATGATATGCAAGTGGACTCTGCAAACATTCAACTGGATAGTCAAGAGTCGACTGTGTTCTGGTCACCCATACGACAACGACGAGCACACTGATGCAGTTGGTGGCAATCAAGATATCGCCGACAGCAGTCAAAGCCCATATGCAGTGAGAAACATTCTCACGTCGGATAATGACAGCAAGATTCAACACAAAACGAAGTAGGCATGGAATCAGGGTTACAATGATTGAATGTTACGCATCTGGTTGCGTTTCAAATCCTGCTAAATATTACGCGTGTGAAGATGAATCTGTGTCATGTTAGTAGTTCTGGTAGTAGTAGTATTAGTATTAGTAGTAGTAGGAGTAGTAGATATAGTAATCACCTCAAACTTATCCGATTGTTGGACATATCACAGAGTGGAACAGGTTTCTTCACCAGATGATGTTCTGAGGTGAATGTGTGGTTTGCATTGTTATTATCCTCTGAGTATCGCTCAATATTTTGTACATGGGCATGGAATAAATAACAGTGGAATGCTGTTCAAATGTGTGTGTAAACACAAATATCCAGGGATCAGTAGAGACAGTGAAATTGATGATACCGTACAGTCGTTTGTTTATTCATCAGCTTTCATGTCAATAGTTGAGAAGTGAGCAATATTGACAACAGTGTCTCCCTATGTCCAGCGATCATGACACATATTGCATGAGTCACCAGACTGTTCGTCTTTTTCCCAATCCAGATCAATTGGAAACAAGCGGTGGTGAAAAGAAAACAACTATCGCTGAGTGTAAGTCAACAAATTAAATCAACATTGATAATTTATCTTTGATTTATAAAAAAAGATATTTGTAAAATCTCAGCGAAATTGAGATGATTAATTACCACCTTTCGTTCACCAATCTGGTCCGAACGTCCTCAGGGAAACTAATCAAAATTAACATTACAGAGGTTTATATATAAAAAGAACATCTCTTGATTTTCAATTATTTACCCAATCATATGAATCATGTAACATGTATCGACATGTATAATGAACAAAATTGTATGAACTGTGATCAAACTTTGTAGGAGAAACTTACAAACAGGTAAATGTTAGAGCATAAACAATGTTTAAATGTGGTTCCAAAGATCTCAGCAGACTTAAAGAAGCTTGGAAACAAATCAGCAATTGCACTGCATTCGATAGAAACGGGGCATAAAATTCACTTTGATAAGACTAAGGTTCTACAGAAAGGTTTTGGTTCATATAAAGAAAGACTGACTGCAGAAGCACTGCACATATGGGTGCATCCCGACAGTTTGAACAGGCGTGAAGGTGTGATGTTAGCTGATGCATGGCGAAACCTGACTAATGAATACACAGTGGATATGTATCAACAATTAGTCATACTAGGTCAAAATTCCCGCTCGTCTAACAAATATTTTATGACTGTTCACCCACACTCACATACACACACGAATCACTCAACAAGACTGAGCGAATGGAGACTACACCCTGAGAATGATAGGGATAGGAAAACTGCCCATTATCAATATGCAACATCATGCTGAACATCCGAGGATATATCTCGCTATGCATGCGGATGATTCATAGAGAGGAGAAAGGATTTGCATTACACCCAGTGACTGCGTCCTTCCATAGCAAGAACGACATTATTGATGATAGGAATTGGCACGAAAACTCTTGATCACAGAGACCAATGTAGATTAGATATTCAAGAATAAAGCATCTTAATCTCTCATTATGTTGACAATTTGAATTTATTGGAAACATTCTTCTAAGAAAAGTACCGAAGAGAGGAGATTGTAAGATTTACTAAATCATTTGTCTTCTAATATCCACGTAATCATGGCGTGATTATCATTTCTATAAATAATTTGAACTCTATCACAGAACGTAAACAATTTTCTCCAAATAAAGCATAATTAATCAGAGAGAAAAGGTAAACTATGTGTCTCATTATACGGTAACAATAACAGCAGGTTATGTGAAGGAGACAGTTTTCACTTAGAATAACAGACTACTTGTAGGCTGACGAAATAAGTAGCACTTCCGTGAGAAGTGTGGTGAGTTGGTTGTAAATACGAAGATAGTATGCAATAGATGAAGACGATGAGTGATCAAAATAGGAGGATTCAGTGTGAGGAGTGACGGTTGACCAGTTAGTTGAAAGTCGTTGAACGGGTTTGTTGACTGGTTAATAGTTAACATAGACAGTGTGCTATCAAATAGGAGATAGGAAGACTGTAGTTAGTAGTTCATCATTGAATAATCAATAACTGAGAGAAATAATATCACTAACAATGAAGTGCAACAGCTTGTCAGTGTCAGGTTGCAAGACAGATGAGGAGACAGAGGATCGAGGTGCTTGAAACACGAGAGAGCAGATGATATGCAAGTGGACTCTGCAAACATTCAACTGGATAGTCAAGAGTCGACTGTGTTCTGGTCACCCAGACGACAACGACGAGCACACTGATGCAGTTGGTGGCAATCAAGATATCGCCGACAGCAGTCGAAGCCCTTATGCAGTGAGAAACATTGTCACGTCGGATAATGACAGTAAGTTTCAACACAAAATGAATTAGGCAAATACAATAATTAAAAATAATCTACATTAAAATCTATATGTGGTGATTTTCCTTGGTAAACTCTCTGTTGCCTGGCCTTTGTCTTCTGTTGTTACACTAGTAATATATGGAGGAAAATATAAATAAAGTGTGATGAAAGCGATGCAAACTCGCAAGAATCACAGGGAAATGCAAATAAGATATGTAAATTTACAGAATTTATAGTACATTATTGCAGTCTCATGTTCTGCATTGCTTTCAGACGGGTAACATTCAATCATTGTTACCCTGATTCCATGCCTACTTCCTTTCGTGTTGAATCTTGCAGTCGTTATCTGACATGAGAATGTTTCTCACTGCAAAAGGGCTTTGACTGCTGTCGGCGATATCTTGATTGCCACCAACTGCATCAGTGTGCTCGTCGTTGTCGTCTGGGTGACCAGAACACAGTCGACTCTTGACTATCCAGTTGAATGTTTGCAGAGTCCACTTGCATATCATCTGCTCTCTCGTGTTTCAAGCACCTCGATCCTCTGTCTCCTCATCTGTCTTGCAACCTGACACTGACAAGCTGTTGCACTTCATTGTTAGTGATATTATTTCTCTCAGTTATTGATTATTCAATGATGAACTACTAACTACAGTCTTCCTATCTCCTATTTGATAGCACACTGTCTATGTTAACTATCCAGTCAACAAACCCGTTCAACGACTTTCAACTAACTGGTCAACCGTCACTCCTCACACTGAATCCTCCTATTTTGATCACTCATCGTCTTCATCTATTGCATACTATCTTCGTATTTACAACCAACTCACCACACTTCTCACGGAAGTGCTACTTATTTCGTCAGCCTACAAGTAGTCTGTTATTCTAAGTGAAAACTGTCTCCTTCACATAACCTGCTGTTATTGTTACCGTATAATGAGACACATAGTTTACCTTTTCTCTCTGATTAATTATGCTTTATTTGGAGAAAATTGTTTACGTTCTGTGATAGAGTTCAAATTATTTATAGAAATGATAATCACGCCATGATTACGTGGACATCAGGAAACGGAAGTTTTAGTAACTCTTTCAATATCTTATGTCGACAGGTAAACCTCCTCGTATTTCCCTGTCTGCATTTTCCGTGTTTATTTCAACTCCACTGTAATTGAATAGAATTCACTTCTGAATTGTGATTGACAACTGCTTATGTAGTACATGATAATCAGTGATTTGTGTGAAGATATGGACCACTCCATTCTATCAGATCTATCAGAAGTCGATATGAATATCACTATCTGATGAACTCCTGGTCTGACATGACAATCCAATCTTGTCATTTTTCTAACACATACCAATTACACGAATTCGCATACATCTCATACATTCCTGTTGCACAAATTTTGTTCATTGAGGATTTCAGTTCCATGACGACAAACTCATCTTGATTCGAATCAGTGTGTTACACGTGAACAATGTAGATTCTTTGCATAAGATAAGCATTCAGGTGGTTTCTCTATGAAATGTTGGATGAATGAATCTGCCTCATTTTTGATCGATTGATAAGTTGTTTTAAATAATCTTAATTCGTCATTCTATTATTAAATTCTTGCCATATTTTCTTTTTATATCTGAAGATTTCGGACTGGTACCGGTTGAAGAGTATTTGGGACCAGTTTATAGTGAGTACATTTACATTGAAGAGTAATTGGAATATTCACGGTTTTTTTTCCTCATTGTATTTTATTCCAATTGTTTCCCACTTGTCAATTCTTTCGAAATGTAAAGTTGCTTGGCGAATATTCATTCACAACATGGAATGATTATTCGAGAATTCTACACTGTGGAGCTTTCAGATGCATTCAAGTGGTTT